TTCTCTGACTTCTTTGAGTCTTGAGTGGAATCAAATTGGAGAGACAGGAGCAACAGCTTTGGCAAAGGCTCTAGAATTAAATTCTTCTCTGACTTCTTTGAGTCTTGAGTGGAATCAAATTGGAGAGACAGGAGCAACAGCTTTGGCAAAGGCTCTAGAATTAAATTCTTCTCTGACTTCTTTGAGTCTTGAGTGGAATCAAATTGGAGAGACAGGAGCAACAGCTTTGGCAAAGGCTCTAGAATCAAATTCCTCTCTGGCTTTATTGAATCTAAGTATGAATTCTAATCAAGAGCAACTGCTTGACAAAGGCCCTAGAATTGAATTCTATCCAGCATAATTATTATTGAAATATAGTGTTGGCTTATTCACAGTATCACATACATAAAACTTTTAAAGTTTCAACCTAACGTTTTCAATTACTAGCTTAACCCAAAACCGAGTTTGATTGTAGTATTCCAAATTTCGTGTAGGTAATTTGCACGAATAATAACATTAAAAATGCTAAGACAATATACTTGGAACATGAACCAAACTGAGATTATTGATTAGAGACAAGAATTAAAACGTATGTTGATGTTTGATTTTTTTATGACAGGCAGATAGTAATAGTATGCCTCGAAAATTTATGCCGCAATGGTAGACGGGTCAATCGTATCATTCATTTTATTCAGTTTAAAATCTTATTCACATGTACGTAAATAACGATACAATGCTTCCTGCGTACTATGCGCCAAGTGGAATGTTCTGGATCTACTAATACGTCGTTATTTTGCTGAATTCCTACCATGCTAAATGTGGGTGACATCAATATCGTGTGGATATGGCTTGTCGACGTAGGATAGTGGCGCGCTTACCTAGTCTCATGCGTCATACTTTACCAAGCGCCATTTTGTTCCGTCGGGTCCACATGTTAATTTTGTTATTCTTTATATTAAAGCATCCAAGTACCATCAGACAGTCAGGTTTTCTAACAAATAGTTAATATTTATTTAAAAAACTTACTTAGTGTTATTTATTTAAATTGAAGTAGTATAAATTTTAATTAAAACAATCTCCCGAATATTCAACAAGACGAGAAATGATCTCGTCCGTATTTCCAAGCATGTGGTATTGAAATGCGAACGGTAAGGATACGCAGTATTATGATTTGTTGATCACAAGAATGTGTATCTGTCGACCAATTATATTAAATCCTGATACCATTGTTGTTCGAATACACATTATCATTAACTTTGCATTCTTCAAGCCCTGGTTTTTTTGTCATGCACTAGTGACTTACATCGTGCGTAATCTAGCTTAGCTTGCACATGATAGACAGACTACGTGTGATGCGAAAATGGGACTTGACTCGTATGTCTGGTTCAAAAAAAGTCTCTTAACATACGAGCCACAATCATGAACTAAGTTTTTTTTTTAACATTATCAAACTAAATCTGTTGTACAGTACGTATTTCGCTATTAATCCGGGTTCTCCATTTTTTTTTACGGAAGTGAATTGAAAATGACTGGAAAATTTCCGGGTTATGATGGATACTCTTGTCCACACTCTATTAGTAAGCAGCGTATTGCAAAACACAAAATCAATAATTCCCCTCGTAATTTATTGCCAAAAATAAATATTTATACTATGTTCTATTATCAATAAAGTCTACTAAATTTAAACTTTCTCATTCACTTGCTCACATACTCATATACAACGGGCGGGTGAGGTAAGTTTTCCATGTTAGCCAATGCAAGCACTGGCTTTGTGTTCGAGACCTTCCTCCTAACACTGCCCATCCTCCCATTCCCAACAACGTCTCGTTTCTTTCCCCTATCAATCCCCCAAATTCGTTCAAAGATTGTAATTGGAGGCGTGGCCAAAAGTGACGTTGAATTCGATCACACCCTGCTCTTGCTTATTGGCGACCTCAACCTCGGCAATGTAGTGCTCCTGATCTCCCTTCTGGCGGATACGAACTGTGACTGTCTCGGCAAGGCGAATTCGATTAAAATAATGGTGTCCATGATAATAATGACGAGAACGTTGTTAAATGTAGCTTGTCAGGGTCGCGCGTTGGAGTTGACCGAAGCTCAATAGAGATTGGAAAGAAAAAGGTTTGTACGAGGAGGCGATGACGATGTAGGCGACGACGGGAAAGACGGGGTCCAACAACCCACCGATACGTGAATAACTGTAGGTTTGCACGAAGGTATAGGCGAATCGGAAGCCTCAAGCCACTTTCGCGATAATCCAGAAAGTCGTCAAGCGACACGTCTTCTTTAACAATGACTCAACTAGATTCAGGTTTGCACATTTTGGCGGATTTGAGCTTCGCTCACATTAGGGGTTAACCCGAGCTTCTTTTTTTTTTTGGTATGCTGAAGATGCCGAAGAACTTGATGGAAGTTTCCATGTCTGTGTTGGGAGGTGTTGTGGAAGTTTTCTTGCTCTGATAACTACAGTATGAGGAGTAGCTGGCGTTGTCTGAAACATCATCATCGACATTTTCCTAATAGCCTTGAAATGTGTGACAAATAACATGATGGTAGTAGAAATTTCCCAGCAATAGTAAAATAAACCTAATTTACTGTGAATTTTTCCGCGTCTTTTGGTTTTAGGGTATTCATACTGAAAATGATCTCATTTATGGTGAAGCGGTGATGCGTAGCGATGGAGTAGTGATCGCGAGATTATCCAACTTGAAGTCGGACTTAAAGTGTTAAGTAATCATATACTGTTTCGCAAAAAGTCCTGAGTAAATGGTGCATTCGGTGTTGGAAGTAAAGAATGTTGAATTGGGACAATGACGGTGAGGTAACTGACAGGATCGTGCGTTCTCATGAAATCTGGATCGTAAGCGGTGCGAACTCCACTATGACCTAATAGCAAATTACATTTAGTAACATTCTAGTTTACAACCTGAAATAATAACAAGAGCAACACTCACTATCACTAGCCAATTGACGCCTTCGCTAAAGCTTCACGTGTATTGACCTGATGAGCCAGCCCTTGTCATCCTTACATAAGCCACTATGCTGGGCTATCATGCTGACTTTCGAATTATTCAATGGACGCTCTACCGGGCCTTCTTTTCTTTGCAGTGCATTAATAGATGAACGCTGGGAAGAGACGTGTGAGTTTAGGTAGAAATAAAGAAAAAAATACTTACAATATCTCTCATATCTGTTATCCTACCTGACTCGGCACCTTCCGGGTTACCTAATATTCCAGCACCGTATCGAGCTCTTGCTAACGCAACGTCCTGATTCTCATTCCTATGCACACGGCTGAGGATACTGTAAACTTTTTCGCGTCCCTGGAATGTATCAACACTAACGACGTCAATCTCCTTATAGAATTCTTTACGCAGTGAAAGTGAATTGCATAGAATTAACAATATAGCTTGCTGAGCTGTCCTCATATTGCGTAAATTTGTGTGGTAAACCTCCAGATTTTAAGAATTTGATAACTATCTTTTCACAAATTGATGTCTCAACGGTACTAAAATGAGATAAAAGCCATGTCATTTCAAATTTTGCACGCAAAAAAAAAGTACGTTTCCCTTTTGCATCATACTCACCGGTGTTTAGCTGCTTGATATTTCTTCTTGGAGTGCAAACACATTGGGGTTCCTGGTGCGCAGTCTGCAAGTTGCATTCCCACAAATTCACAGAGAAATTGACGAGTACAGTTTACAGGTTCCAATTCCATATATTGCTGACATTCTATAATATAAAAGACTATTCTATAAATGATGGAAAATGATTGAGTATTTTTGTCACATGAC